ATCCTGAGCGCGTGAGACCCATCTTGTCATCCGGGCCGGGAGTAAGTGGAATAGGTTGATATGGTGTCAACAAAGAGGTCACTGGACAGTGTAGGACTGGTGCTGGAAGTTCTACTCTGATGAGGCAAAGGTTGAGATTGGTGTAAGAGGAGGCTATGAGAGGATTTGGAGGAAGCCTAGAACTGAGCTCCAAGATCATAGCCTTTAGGCAACTTGCAAAGGGGAAAGAATATCTACAATGTTCTGAGCTACTATAAGCTATGGCCGGTAGAGCCATCATATTAATATTTGGCAGAAACCACAAGAAGAATATCAGCATCCTAATGACTGTGGTATAATGGATTCGGAGCAACACTGCTTAGAGGTATTGCCGCTGGGGTTTCTTCCTTTGTAGGAAGAGGTGGGAGGGTCAGCTCAAGGGTTTTCACTAGTGGAGGATGGTTCCGAGATTCACATTTCCACATATAGTCGTCAGTTTAAGTTGAACAATAGTATCATATACTCAGACTGGTCCAGCTATAACCCAAATCTGAACCCTATAGAGAATGTCTGGTGGACTCTAAAATATCAGCTAAAAATCTGCTTCCGAATACTACAGGGACGACTCAGAGGTATTACTAGGCTGGTGTGAGTAGCACAGGAAGAATGGAATGGAATTGAATAAGAGAAGATAGATAAGTTTATTGAGTTCATGCCAACCTAGGTGCCATGGGTGATTCATTATCATGGGAGTCATTCTGCGTAGTAATTTCTTGTTTATTTTGCTTTATTTCATATCTCTTACTTTGAACAAAAGTAGTCTATTGGTTTATACATGAAGTTTCATTTTCATAATAGTAGCGGTGTTTTTTGGGAAGCGCTAAGGCTTGTATGCACTCACTTTTTTGGTGGCATTTATAATAAAAGAAATATAATTAGGAAAAACATAAATAAGAATATGTTTCTCAGTAGAGAAACATAAGTGTGAAATTGTTTGACCCTGAAAACCTGCCAAGAAAAATCCCAAAAGTGTATGTATATCTAAGATAGTATGCAGGAAATATTAAGAAAATATTATCAATCTAATATATAATCAATGTGTATAAATATACATAATAGAAAAAGAAAATCTCATTTATCCCATAACTAAATAAGAAAATAATGCATAAGTTTTCTGTCTGTATTCAATGAAATATCTATAAAATTAGTGTAAATATGACCCAGCTGTAGTAATGTCTGCAGCATACAGGTTTTAACTGAAACATAACCAACTGAGTGAAAATACAATGTTTATCATTAAATATATTGAAACATAATATAGGAAACAAATTTCAACATGGCGCCTCACCAGCAGGTCAACACAGTAAGGGGCAGGCTACTTTCTAAATGCCTGGATTTTTAGTTCAAGGATGTAGCAAAAAAGCATTAAAGAATATTGACAGCAATGAGTCTGGTTGTTGCTCTTACCCCTTTTGTTGCTGCTGTTGCTACCAGAAATGACTGTAAGTTTCCTCAAACAGTCTGCAGCAGACTAGTGAAATTTATACTATTGTGAGTCTTATAGGTTTTTCTGGGCCACAAGGTGTCCACACATGGTTCGATATACCATCTAAGGTCGATCTCGATGATTCACTCCCATCCAGGCTTGTCAAAGTCAAGTAGTAAACCCACTGAGCAGTCTTCTGGCTGGAGCTAATGTAACCCGCCTTGCCGTTGGACTGGTGCCTGAGTTTACTAGAGATGGGATTGAGGAACCGGTCAAGAGGTCGAGTGTTCGGGAAATACGCGAGTAGGGGGCCATCTTGCTTGATGCACAAGTTGACAGTCACTATTCCCTTCCAGTGTTCCCAACCGTCTGGTTGCCCGGCGGGGCCCCGACGGGCGAATTCCAAGAGCCCTGGGCGGGACGGGACGCCTATCTGTAGTCCGTCCAGGGCGGTCAATTGCAGGACTGCCGTCCTTGAGCCGGACCGCGGGCCCTACGGGGAGTCATTTTAGTTTAGGGCAAGAGGGGTGGACGGTGGGTGGCTGCAGGGGATGGGCGGGGACAGTCGAGAACTACAGGTGATGGCTGAGGACTGTAGGAGACTGCGGGGGACGGCCGGGGACTGCGCGAGTGATGCGCCATCAGGCGATAGTAGGTGCGATTTCAACTTGGATAGTACCGGAGGTCTAAGCCCTGGGACTACAGTCCATCCAGTCCTCACCTCCCCGGGCGCAGTCCGTCATAGCACTCTCAAAAGGGCGGACTACGAGCTGTAGTCCGTCCCATCCGACCCCGAAGACTAACGGACTAGACAACTAGGAACACTGTTTTTTCTCGTATACCAAGCATATTATATATGAAACCCCTTCCGACCCAGTAGCAGGTACTTTTGGCGACTGACATCCTTAGCTTGATCCAAATTCCAGGGAAACCTAGACAGTATCAATGAGTTTTTGAGAGAGAAACGGAGTGAAGCTTGATTTTTGATTAGATGGACTCTCATTGGTTTATATCCTGAAGGGACACGGAGAAAACAAACAACAATAACAATAACAACATAATGTGAAAGATAGGGAGAAGCAAAGAAACATACCATAGTTGAATAAGGCATGGAGTTAATGTTAAGAATGGAATGAAATGAAAAGAATGAAAGTAATGTTGCGTAAGGAGCCAGTTGCATAGCAATGAAACTAGCGCTGTACGGTGGATAAGTATGATATGATACCAAGTTCAACAGACAGAGCGAGTGATAAATGGTGATGGAAGTCGGTAATTCTATGATTGTCTCCATCTATAGCACAGAACCGGTAAAACATCTGAGCCAAGATACAAAAGCTATCGAAATACAGGAGCAGGGTCCCGCATCCTCTCCTATTATCTACAGGAAGCCGAAAACATAAATGAGAAAAACAAGATTCTATTCGTCAAGTTCCTGCCCCTGGAACTCTCCAAACTTGGCCAATGCATCATCGAAAGTAATGTCACCATCCAAGATCTGGCTAACTGTTTCAATGACCTCATCTTGTGTCCCACGAACCTGCTTCATCCCATCACGCTCACGCAAAGTGATAGTGCCGTCCTTGAGGGACTGGAAATCGACTGTAACACCAAAAGGAGTTCCCAACTCATCATTGCGAGCATAGCGCTTTCCGATGGTTGCAGAGGAGTTGTCCACTCTATTTGAAATTCCAGCCCGGCGGATCTTAGCGGAGAGCGCGGTGACGATAGGAGCAAAATCTGAATGGCCAGAAAGAGGGACGATGAGGATTTTGGTCGGTGCAATCTTTGGAGGGAAAGACAAAACACCACGAGCTTCATCGCCAGGACGTGACCAATAGATATGCTCAATAAGAGAGTAGAAGATACGGCCAATACCGAATGATGGCTCGATAACATTAGGTGTGTATTCCCGGACTAGTTCCATTAGTAAATTAATATGAAATTACAAATATAAGGAACTTACTGTTTACAGCCTTCTTGTTCTTCGCAATGGTAACCTTTTCTAGTTCTACTGAACCAAGACCTTCAACTTCAATAAACACCTTTCCACCATCTTTTTGAACAGAAGCAAGCTTCTCACGAGCCCCCTGTGAAATTCTCGCGACAGCTTCCTCTATTTTCTTAGCATCCTTTCGAAATTTAGGCCCAAGCCACTTCTTATCAACGTCCATATCCCATTCCTCCCAGACCTTTGGAGGCTCGAGGGTTTCTCTGACTACAAGCTGCTCCCCAGTTCTGCTAGAGTGAACGGTAAGATCGTAGGCTGATCTATCCGCACAGCCAACGCATTCAATCCATCCATAAGAAGTAAACAATTCAGCATCCCAACAATCCGCAGCATAATGAGCCATCTCATTAGGCATATGTTGTCTAAAGCGAACCTTCTCCTGATCTACACCAAGCTCCTTCAGGAAAAGGTGAATTCTGGCCAGGAAATAACCCAGGGTCTCATTATCCACAATCCCTTCTTTAACGGCTTCACCGATAGTCTTTTCAACAATAGTTGTCTTGCCCAACTCTTGTATAGTGCGTGGAAGGAGTCTAAGAGAGACCTTCTCTGCAACCTCGGGAAATCGAGGGTGCTTTTTATCAAGTGGGTCGACAAAATGCTCGATCTCAGCCATGAGGAACTCGCGGACACGAAGCAGTCCAGAACGGGGAGAAATCTCGTTACGAAATGACTTTCCTATCGAGGCCGAAGCAAAAGGCATGCGCAGGTTGTTGAACTCATATAACTTGTTGAATGTCAAAAATTGGCCCTGGGCGGTTTCTGGACGGAGGTATCTATGTATTGTTAGGTATATGACTCACAACCACAAACAAATGTAAACAAATATTACCCTGGAAGATTTGCGCTGGGGCCAATTGACGTCTGAAACATCAAATTAAAAGAAACTGGCGGCTCAAGCGGATTGCCAGTGGTAGGACTCGTAATTCCATAGTCGACAATAAGCTTTCCAAGCTCTTCGCCGCTGCAGTCACTAATCTAATTATTGGTAAACATGACAGCCACATATACCCAACACTGGAATGCGGGTTCAGTGCCACTAACCTTTGCAAGTACTCCTTCGTATTCCTGGATAACCTTTTCATCAAGCTTGATAGCCTTAATATCCTTCAACTTCTTCTTTCGTTTCTTCTTATCGGCGTCTTCTCCTTCCTCCACAATTCTCTCTCCTCTCGCTTCCTTATCACCTTTAAGCCGAGCCTCTAGGATTTCCTCAATGATATGGTCGGCCCTGAAAATCTCGCCGGTTTTCGGGTCTTTGCACATCCAATCCGCAAATTTATCCACATGCCCGGAAGTCTTTAAAACGTCGTTTGGGGTCAGCATAGTACAGTCTACCTCCAACATATCCTCTTCATGGACAAAGTGCTTCCTCCATGCATCTACAATATTGGCCTGAAGGGAACACCCAGGCGGACCGTAATCATAAAGACCAGACACACCACCATAAAGCTCGAAAGCTGGAGTGTAGAAGAGCCTTCTACGAAGGAGGGTGTCGAGGGTTCCACGATCAAGTGGGGCACCGGTTTTAGTAGTAGCCATGATAGGAGGTGCCCCCAGAGCTTTAAGGAAAGTATTTTTGTCGAAGGTAAGAGTGTTCTCTTTACTAGAAAATGTCAATGAACTGAAAGACGATGCCCCCAACAAATAACAAGGAAGAGAAATGGGAATGCGGGTCTCGAAGGAGGAGGGAACAGGTGCGATGCTTGAGCGGCAGCGAGTAAGAAAAAAGCGGGGGAGGAGCATCGAGGGACAGGTGTATCATAATATCAAAAAGGGTGGCAAGGAACCCAGCTTTGCACAAAAAAGGGTGTCAGGGGAGGGGTTTTCGAACACCTAAGTTATTTGAGGTTAACAAAGCCAACGATATCCTTGTCGGTTCCGGTTAATGGGTTCCTACCCTTGTATAATATGTGTTCCTGGCAGAAAGTTAGTCAACAGTTAATTTGTGTTAGCGCCCAAAATAATATGATACATGTTCAATAACTTCTTGCAGGACCATGGTACGAGTGCTAGTTACCCTGCCTTTAAACACTAACTTTCCCACACCCATGTCCATTGACGTGTCCTAGATCCCGCACTCCGAAATATCCCACCCCTCCCCCCGACTCGCCATTATGCCACCAAAGTTAAAAGCGAAACCCCGACCAGTTGCAAGGCGAGGGGCAGCGACCTCTAATTGCGCCCCCATTCCGGGTGATTCGATTACACCCCCAGAAAACCCCACGGATAGCCCAGCGCCAGTCAAAGTTCCTTCTTCAGTGGTAACAACTGCAGCAGAACCGGTGCAGAATCTTCCAATCCCCCCTCCAGTCGGCCGTTTAGACAGCTTATCTGCAGCTCGAAACCCTTCTACCAGTGCTCGGGGAGCAGCCCCATTAGTCAAGTTTAAACCCAGAAATCCTGGCCGGCGCACACAAGAGTGAGTATCGCAGCTATCTTTCGCCCCAACCTTTACGGCCCATGCTAATCTCTTCTAAAAATTAGAGAACGAGAAACCCTCAATGCTAGGTTCCAACATACCGCTAATCCAGCCCCTCACCCCCGAGCCAACGGGTCAGATCATGAGACCAGGGGTAGAAGGGGTGGGCGAGGCGGAAGAGGTGGAAGAGGTGGAAGAGGTGGAAGAGGTGGAAGAGGTGGCCACAACGCTGTATCCGCTTATGCACCAGCTACTGCATCAGGACCTTTTGCTTTAGGAAGTGTCTCTACAGGTGGTAAGTCATCTCATCTCTTTCCGGGGTATAATTTCCTAAGTTTCTTCAGCTCCAAGATCCAGGGTTGCCGTCGAGCGTGGCATGGATCGTGAAAAATACAAAGAATTCACTAGATCCGGTGCAAAGCGTGACATAAAGACCCGAGCAAAGCTAGAGGGTGAAGGCGAGGATGGGAAAACTCTCGGATATACATCATCGGACGATTCTGACGGTCCTAGAATGGATGTGGAATACATTTCATTGCTAAACGAAGATAACTCTGAGGACGAAGATGTCGATAAAGTGATGGATTGTGGGTCTAGCCATTGGGGCGCAGGAGCTCCTGTCAGAGTCCCTCGAAGCGAGCACATCGACCGGACTGCTATGGTCAATACGGATGCTAGTTCGAAAAAAGGCAGATCAGATCCCAGGATCAAGAACGAGAGCCCGCTCGAGGATTCGGTGAAGGTCAAAGAGGAGCCATCAGATGACAATATGGCCACTGAGTGGCCTTCATCGCCAGAGGCTTCAAGGAAAACCAAAGCCCCTACCTCATCCCCAGAAATAAAAAAAAAAGAAATCAAGTCACCCACAAAAAGACGGCGTTCGAGCCCTCACAGGACAAAACCCTTGTTCACGAGTGCTGAGACGAAAGAGGAGCTTAAAGTGGAAGAAAAGGATCGACTAAAAACACTAGAGGAGTTGGCAGGGAGCTTTACCGATATCAAGCTCGACATGGGTGGTAACCCTGGGATGGTGAGTACATCCTCCAATCCACAGTTACGCATGCATTCCTAATAGCTATCCCCAGGGTGAGGCGGCACGAGAGCCAAGGAACTCCGAGACTGAAAATCAGATCTTTTTCTTTCAGTTTCCTACGATGCTGCCGCAACTTGTCGCCCCTCTATCAAAAGAGAAAAAGTCACACGAAGCCTCCATTGCACCAACTGACCCCAAGCCATCATCTACAGAAAAGCATAGGATGGGATCTTCCACTTTGCCCCATTTGGATATTAACCCTCAAGCTCGGACTACCGTTCTTCCCCAACCTTCAGGTCCCCCTCCAAGCTCTGCACCCACCGAAACTAGAATGCCCCCTCCCCCTAGTATGCCCAAACAAAGCTTAAAGGCTCAACAGGCATTATTAGAAGCGTTTCCTCCTCCAGGTATAGCAGGCAAGCTTCGCGTTCACAAGTCTGGTCGCATGACGATTCTCTGGGGAAACCCGGTAGACGGTGAACCTTTTGCAATGGATGTTTCCCGTGGAACCGATTGTTTGTTTTTACAGGAAGCTGTTGCAGTCAAAGAGGTTTCCCCTTGGGGAGAAGAGGATCTGGATGAAAAGGGTGCGCGGAAGGGTGCGGCATTTAGTCTAGGCCAAGTTAAAGGGAGATATGTTGTTTCCCCCGACTTTGACGATTTGGTCAGAAGCGAGAAGAGGCGAGCGAGAAAACCCAAGGCGAATGATCGTGAAGCAATCAATTAAACTTCTCCTTCATGTCGCCTACAACCCATGAGATAGTTATGGCCTGTATTTATTAAGGTGTTAAGGCTCCCCACACTACTCGAGCAGCTACGGGGATTTCAGAGCAATACGAAACGGAGATGATTGGTTTTTGCAACCAAAGTCATTGTACAGCACACGCGTAAACGTGAGAGTAACTTAGGCCCTAACATTACTTATCTTACGAGTGATATTCAGTGGAATGAACGTCTTACAATGGGCATTAACATAACCTACAACGCCAAATCAAATGACAAAGGCGGCCGCGCCCGCCAAAAGCAGCTCCTCACAATCATAGACGGGGCTAGTAATACCCGTAGGTTAAGTTAAATTACCAGGGAGGTAATCCTCCACATCATCGCCACCCTCAGGTGTCGTATACCCCCTAGCACTCTCCAGGTAGAATTAGTACTTGTATATTAACCCCCCTCTATTCCCCCTTCCGCCCTCTCCATCCCTCGCTCTTCACTCAACTAATACAAACACCACACTCAACCGATTAACTTTACTCCTCTATCCACACGGTCCTTCCTTTCACTCCAAATGTCTTCTGAACAGAATATGAATCAGGGCAAGCCCTCCTCTGCTCCTGGCCAGGTGGCATCTGGCAAAGCTAGCGGTGCGGGTAACCCGTGCTCAAAAGAGTCCTCTCATGCTCCGACCGTTTCACCATTTCCCGGAGGCGGCCTGGCAAGGGGAATTTATTCTTGTACTCTTGGAAGAAGCAAACCCTGTGGAAGCAATGACACAACCCACGCCCCTGTCCATGAGAAGTGTGATTCTGGGCAAGACGTTGAAGAGAAGCGTGCTGAGAAAACTCCTGACAAAGGTAGACTCGGAAGTCAATGGTTCGCATCTATTCTAACAGTACTAGCGGAAGATACGGAGCTTAAGGCCACTGATCCCGGTTCTGATCCTGCTGTAAGAAGCCGCATTCTAGAAAGTGAGTTTCTTCCACGACATTAGAATCCAGGGGACTGACTTTTGATAGTAACTAACCCTAAAAGGGGTCTAACTATTGCGGATGTGGAGGCTATCGAGCAATGGCATGGGGGAGTGGGGTGGTTGAGTGGGTAGGCCTAAGCTTGGTGATTGTTCCGTGCTTGCTGCATGCTTTGCTCAATTATTATAGAGGAATAGACATTAGTGTTGTTTCCCTGCCTTATCTTTTCTATCCTATGCCTCTCAAAAGTGAAGAATGACGGCCACTCTCTTAGGAAGTACTCGAAAATTGAGTTGGAAAGATGAATAGCCTTTGGCGTTGACAAATATTGTGAGTAGTCCCCAGTCGATCACAGACCATCACCCGTAAATCACCATATCCCGGAGACCTAAGGGAACGCGGGCGGAATTTGAGGCTATACCAGGAGCCTAAAACAACGTCAAACGTTACCTAGCCAACGTTGTAAAAGCGTCTTACTAATTGTCTATCAGTTGAGCTCGGGAAGAGAAACGTATGACGCCACGGGTCCAAACCCAGCAATCACTCTAGGGTCTAAAAATGCAAGACTTGCTCTCAATCCCTTATCACACAAGGGAGATAAGCGCTATCACCGCATGGTTGGATGGCTAGCAGTGCATACTGCAGCAGAAGTCTATCCAGCAGATTACACCTCGGACTCCCAACATTCCACCACATCATATACTTCCACTCTCCCAAAACGCCTCATTCCCACCACCATCTTCCCGCCTGAGCAACTCCCCCATAACCCCCTGCACCCTCTCACCCAAAGCGGTGGCCATGGGGATCTCCCCAGGCCGTCCTTCGTTCAGCAGCATAGGATCAATAACTCCCGCTATACCACCCATAAGATTAAGTTCCTGTCCCCATTCCCCGCCGCCTTCTTCTTCTTCCCCCTCCTCCCCTTCTTCCTCCTCCTCATCTTCTTCCTCCTCCGGTCCCTCTTCCTCTTCCTCTTCTTCCCCTTCCTCTCCTTCCTCCCCCTCCCCCTCCCCCTCCCCTCCTCCTTCGGCAGCCGCCAATGCTGGCCGAGCCACGCGGACCCGTTTCTCCAAGCGCCGTTTCCTACGTTCCTGCCGCTCTGCCCGCTCGCGCAGCTTCCTGGCGGCCTCTTGATCCTCGTCCTCGGATTCCTGCTCGAGCACATCGACGTAATCCGCGTCGGTGGGTGTGTGTCCATCGGCGAGTGCGCGGATCTTGAGGCGCATTATGGTTTTTATCTTGTTCATTGTTGTGGAATGGTACCAACCGTCTATGTGCTATTTCACAATTATAAGTCTATGCGCAGACGCCGGGCAAAACGGGAGAGGGGATAAAACATCGCATTTAGACCGAACCCTAGCGCCGTCAATTACACCTTTCAACAGGGGGTCCGTAACGTCGCAGAGCTGAAAGCACCGGCCGTCACGCACGAGGTTTTTCCCGTCGAATATATGGCTCGCACCAGTCCTCGCCTTTTCCCTCCCCTTAGCCGTCTTTTCCGTGTCGACTTGGAAGAACACAGCCTGGTACACACGATACTGCGGATCCGCGCGCGGGTCCAACCCGTACACGACGCAGGTGTCGCGCCAGGGCCCGGCGCGCCACATGTATGCCACGTGCACCATGGAGAAGCGCACGAGGCTCTGGAGGTTCTTGGGAAAGTGGTTAAAGAGGGCGCGGCGCGTCCAGATGGGCCGTTGGGCAAAGAGCTTGCGCAGGTGGTCGACGCACTGTTTGTTCCCGCGGTCAAGGAGGTCGTAGGGTCGCAGTGAGTCCGGAGGGCACAGGGGGGTGGTAGGGGTGGAGATGTGCACCATTGGTGTGAGCGTCTTCGGTGCGGCCTGGAGGTTCAGAAGTGCGGGTTTGCCGGCCACTAGGGTTTTTTTGATGGCGGGGTTCTGACGGTAGTAGTAGTTGTGCTGCATCGCTGTATTCGAGAACGACGGCGGGGGGAGAATGGGATGCGGATCTCTAAGTCCACGACTGGGGGGGATGTCAAAGTTCTTGATCCTCGCATCTATGACAAGCCCTCCAAATCAGCACTGCAGCCATACAGAATTCCTCGAAAAGGACACCACAAACACTCCAAGCCCCCCAACTCATCCCTAACCCTCCGCACAATCTCCACATCTGCCGTATTGAACTGGTAATTCGCCATATCTCTAAACCTCACCGTCTGCGCAATCGTCCCCACGGCTTCGATCGTACACTCCTCCCCAGCATCGCGCAACCTCTCCAACACGCTGCGCTCATCCGGACCTTCCCCAGGCGCACGCTTACGCTTTGGTATGCGGATCTTGAGGAGTATGTTATTCGTCTCGACGGTTTTCGATTGAATGGGCGGTTGCATGATGTCTTCGGGGCGGAAGCGGAGGTCGAGGCCGGGGGAGGCGTTCGTTTCCGAGAGCTTGCTACATTGTTAACGGAGAAAGCGGCAATGAGGGGAGGTGAGGGTGGGACTTTTTTCAGAGCTTTAGCGCCGCCCAGCGTCTCAATTGCTTTGTCCACGTTCTTGATGATGGCCGGGTGCTCGATTGAGATTATTTTTCGGGGAGGGATAGTGTGCCAGGGGGCACACGCGCTTCTGGAATGGTGAGGGGTCGCGGATGCACGGTGAGGGGGTTGTGGGTGAGGGAGATGTTTTGGTGTGCAAGGCATCTTTTTGGCGGTGACTGAGTGGTTAGAAGGAAATTAAGAAGGTTGAGATCGGATGAGTTGGAGTTGAGTTAGGTTTGCAGCTTATCGATAGTGTGTCTTGGCCAAGACTACGAATCGGGTCATGGGGTTGGGCGGCAGACGATCAATGATAATATCATACAGGGTTGCGATAAAATACCGGCGCCGGTGGTAGACTATTACTGTAGACTACCGTTATTTTTCAATCGAGAGCTGGGTGAAAAGGTATTCTACTGGAGAACTCGAGCACAGTACACGACCCCACCAAATCCCACATGGTAGTAAACTCAATTGATATAGAGTGGGCCTCTATGCAAACTCTACCAATGTAATTACGCCCCCTAAAAAACAAAACAAAATGAAGAAAACTACAGACTCTCCCCTCCCTCCGCTGCCTCTCCTCGCTGACGGTTCTCCACAACTCTCTATGGCCAAATATTAGCACGCAAGCCACCAAATCTCCCCTAAAGCAACTAAACATACCAAAAGATTTCTAAGAAGAACCACAATTGTAACCTTCCCAATGGCCGGGACATATATCGAGGCTTTCTCCTTAACTTCAGGCCCGAAATTCTATGCACTCCATGTCAGCCCCCAAACCCCCTTCCTATCGTAATCCGATTCAAGTCATGAGAAAGATACCTTCTCCGAAGAAAAGTTCACGCAAACCGCACCGCTTCGATAACCCCCGTGAGCCAAGTAACCTTTAATAATGCTATGAGAGAACTTACTCTTTCAGCAGCTCCACAGGAAACTTATACTCCTTACTCGGCACCCCAGTAATCACAACATCACTCTTGGGCACCACATCCTCGAGCTTCAAGTCCGTGTCATGAGCCTCATGCTGCCGTCTCCTGATCCCCGCGCCCCGGGTAAAGTACTGCACGTTGTTAATGTCAACAGAGTACACGCTTGCCCCGTCATTGGCCAACAGAGCTGCAAGGGGACGTCCGACAATCTCCGAGCGGTTGACGACAGTGACAGTCTTCCCAAAGAGCCTGTTACCATAAGGCAGGATGGAGTTGTACACGGAGATGTGCTCAAGGACCTTGATGATAGCTAGGGGTGTGCATGGCAGGATCGACTTTTGCGACTTTTCTGGGTCGAGGAAGCGGATGTTCTGGTACATGTTGAACAAGTAAGCGTGCGAGAGGCCCTCAACATCTTTCTCTTTGGAGGTGATCTGTTGGAGGTATGCATCCTGCTCCTCATTAGTCGCACAATCTCGCAGCAGGGCGAGTATCGGACCTGACTACTCCCAAAAACCGGATAATAAACAATAATCCCCCCAACCTCATCATCCGCATTCGCCGCGATAATGTTCTCCTCAAGATCATCCTTACCCACCTCCCTAAGCTCAAACCTTACCCCACTACAGCACATTAGCACCCACGAAAAATGAAAAACAAATAAAGAGCCCACAAACTTCTGCAAACAAGTCTTCCCCGTCCAGCTAGCATACATCCTCGCCGCGGGATCTACATTCGCCAGAAACCCAACCAACAATGGCGCCCGCCCCAGCCTCTCGATTGAGTCCTTGACTTCTCCCAGTATGCCCTCGGCCACGGCGGAGGCGTAGACGACTTTGCAAGTAGGGGGCGCAGGGTCCTCTACTATTGTGGACATTGTGTGCTGCCTCTTTAAAAGAGCCCTGTTGTTCGGGTGAGTAGCGGGGAGGGAACAGAGGAGTGAAAGGTTGAAGATGGAGGAGACACTCCTACGTTGACAAATTTTTAGTAAGGCTATTGATAGTGAAGGTGGTAAGGCTGCGGATGGCTTGGCGGTAAGGCACTCGAGAAGGGTGCAAGTAAGGCTCCGGGTGGGCATTGCTACACCACAATAATACGTAGGTGTGAGGGGAATGAGAGAATCATGTTGTGATATCATGGAAATTCGGTGGTTAGAGAAGGAAGCCATAAACGGTACGAGGTCTTGCCATTCAGGGTCCGGATCCAGGGCATACGTCCATCTCGAGTGACGCCCGGTGCTTCCGCCTGCCTCTCTTCTGCCAAAAATTTAAGAAAAATTGCGGTACTGTAAGGCTCAAAATCTGGTTTGTGGATTTTCGAAGTCCTGTTATGATAGTTGGTTTAGTTTGATTTAGAGATGGATGTAGTTCAATTAGGGGTTTTGATAGACTCAGAGTAAAAGTGATAGGGTATGTTTGAAGGAAGGGAAAAGTTTTCTTTCTGTATGTAGGGAGATTTCTCCACCTGTCTTCTGAATGAAGTAGATAGCAACCACAATGAACAAACATCAAACTCTACAAAATGTGAATTGAACCAAACAAGTCTGAGTGTGTGAGTGAAGTACACCAAGTGATAAGACTGTCCTTGAGAGTGCAAGGACCAATTGATATGAATTTCACTAATTGATTTTCTTTCCTTCTTTCTTAGTTTTCTTTTTCTTTCAAACCTACCAATTTCACCTTTTCACATTTGCTTTCCCGGATCGAATTTTCTTTTTCTCAGTACGGGCAGTCACCGTGCGTGGGTAGCGAATGTGTGGGTTGCTATTCCAACAGCATAGAGCTTTCGTAACTAGCGCGAGAGAGAGAAAATGCACACCCCAGGAGGATGGAATTCCAGCATCGAGTATCACTCGTGAGGTTATCTGAAACCAATGAGGGAGCTCTTAAGTCACAATAAGAATAAGAGCTCAAACCAATAACTCGAACCAATAGAAGAAAAACGCGCTCGGACGTTGGAATTCCATTTCTCGGGTGATTTCCCGCCCACCCGAGAGGAGAGCAATGCAGACTCTTCAATCAAATTTACTATCCTAGCATCGCCGAACCGGCATACCGATAGCCAATGCAAACCCACCCCCCAGTTGAGACAAAACAAAAGGAATATGTCCAGCGCCTTGCTAGGAGGGGCAACTACCGGTATACAACGTCCCGTCCCGGCACATTTATCTTCTCCTCGGGTTTCAGTGCGCAAATACTGTACGAGGAAGGCCACTTCTCGAGGTCGTCAGCTCCGGCTACTAGATGTATTTCCAAGTAGAAGAGTAACCTGAGGTACCGTGGAAAGTATGTACTATACAGTACAGTACAGTACAGCTGCGAACGCGCACTGCTATGAGCACGCGTAATCTAAATCCCCAAATGACGACTCAGAACATGAGGATAAATTATATAAGATCAACCTTACACATATACTCGAGTAGCCACCATAAAGTGTCCAACATAATCAATAACTAATACCGCAGCTAAAATCATTGGCAACATAATCGTAAATCATAAGTTGAACCTCCCCATTTGCTTGTTTTTTCCCAACCTTTGATCCTTTTAACCTTTTTTCCTGATTACGGTCATAGTAGAAATGAATAAACAGAACGCCTCAAAACCAAAAAGAAAAGGAAGGAAAAAAAGACACTAAAACTCCACCTTCTCACTCTTGGGCATATCCGGAACATCAGGGTTCATCTGCTTGATGTAAACCTCCGCGTCAGCATTGCCCAAGATAGCACTGCCCTCCGAAGAAACGACGGCGGGATCTTCATTGATTGTGAAAATCACGGGCTTGTGCGGAGGCTGGACTTCAGGGACATATTCATGACGATGGAAGCGTGCAGTTTCGTTATCTGGGGTTAGAGGCTTTAATTACGGACAAAGTCAGCATAAAAACAAATAGATCCCTTGGGGACAAGTAATTGATAGAGAAGGAGGTGAGGCTCACCACTCGAATAGGCATATCCGGTTTTGTTGAATATTCATGAAATTTTGGAAACGACGGCACTTCCTGGGTGTGAGGTCGGCAAGCAAAGGCCGAGAAAGTGAATGGGCTGTATAGAGTGTTAATATGAAAAGCTAGAACTGAGCGAAGTGTTTCACGAATGGAAGTGGTGTTAGAACTTACGAGACCCCACCGATAGGCTGGATGCTCATCGAAGCCTTGTCAGCAGGTATCCTACGGTCGGCATTCCCGCCACCGCCACAAACGACCTCACCTTATTCCTGCCCGCCAAACTATTCACGCCTGGCCTAACAAGAAGCGGGAAATGGCTTGACTTGAATGCAGCACGGAGAATAAGCATCTTGAGGGTTTGAAAGTTCTCAATCAGAGGTGATGTTTGGATAAGAAAGATAAGTGGAGGATCAAGATGTGGGGGATGGCAGAGAGAAAGAAAGAGGATTTAAAGGGAGCAGGGGAATAAAGTGGGAGGGAGGGGGGGTTAAAAAGGGAGAGGGACATGGCCACAACAGCGTACGAGTACTGAGTGCAGGTTTTTCGTGAGAATGTTGAATTGAGTGGGATGGGTGGATGGATCAGCCCCACGGCAGTTTAGACTAGCATGCAAGCAGGCCAGACCGATAGACAAACGCTTCCCTCCCATCCATTTTCCATAAATTTACACACTCACACTCGCATACATTCTAGACTACGGTAGACTAGACTACCAGTACGAGTACAGTACTCGTATGACACACCCTTCTTGCCTCCGCCCCGCAAAGGGTTGAGAGACGGCCACCCATACTCGGGAAAACAACTTCCCCACACTTTTTAGAATGTCAGGGCCAATCAGAGCGAAACGTGAGCCTTGGGCCACTTGGCTTGGCTGCATCCAACCTTAAAGATAAGCGAGGAATCGAAGGTCGAAAAATACCCTATCCGCGGAGGGGATGACGAGGAACTTAAGCTGAGCCTTTGTTGAGATTTAAGAAAAAGTAGAATTCATTCTTGATACATATATTTGAATTATAGGGATTTGGAGAAGTCCTTCCAAGTATTATTATCATCTGGACTCTTCCGTGCTTGTCCGTCGACTGCGACCAAGTCGGTGGGCGATCAGCATCAGGAGTTGCATCAATCAGCCTGCAAAATGACCACTCTGCTGCATCGAACCGCAACCCAATTCCGCTCTGGGTATGCCCACCCTACTACGCTACCCGATGAAGAAGAGCAGCACAAGCGACCCTACCAGCCCACCATCCAAGCCCCAATTTAATAGTCTCAGCCTTGACCCGTGATGAACACAAAAGGATCATAGAGTACTGTACTCGTAGATGTTATAATAACCCACATTATTCCATCCCCCCATCCCCCCATCCCCCCATCCCAGACCATTAACATATCCCCTGCAACTCTTACTCGATGGAAATTCTGGATAAATGATACAGCGTGGTAAGGTAAATCATCCCCCTCTAGAAACATCGCCATACGCCCCCGGCAAATCAGAAATCAATGGAGTACGGCGCCCCGTGAGCTCCTCAAACCTTGACCCTTTTCCCTCCCTTTTCCCCACCCTTGACCATACTCTCAACAGGCTTGCATCCCAAATCCTTATAAGTCCTCCCACTGCCGTGCCAACCCTCCCACCAGCTTCCCTCATCGGCACCAGGATCTCCTTCCCTCAGTTCCCTAGCGTTATGTTTCCCCTGCCAACAGCACTCATTCTCCTCCATATCTCTCGGCCTCTGCATATAGTCCTCACCATACCCACAGTAATCCATTGACTTCCCACAGCAATCATATTACTTCGTATGGGCACACCTGTCATCGTCCAGCTCTCCGTAATGCTCAATGGAGCGGTCGTAGTTGCCAGTCTTAGGGTTATAGGCCTCGTGACAGTACACGCAGTGCAAGATTCCCTCGGCAGGTTCGGGCTGAGGATAGGCAGTTTCGAGGATCATTTTGGCGAGTCGGCCTATTGAGAGGCTGCCCAGATGCTCTCTAAGGGCGGATTTGCCGACGTATTTTGACTTCAAAGTCTCAATGATGGGCGTGACGGGAGGCTCGCTCGTAGACTTTGAGGGTGCGAGAGTATCGATTTCTGGGGTCGCAGGGCGGGAGCGCTTTCAGCTTTGTTCCAGGGCTCCAGGGGAAGAGGAAAGGAGGGAGATAACGTCAATTCGGGTGGTAGGGGTTGACATCATTGCTGGGTGGAGGGATTCGTTAGCGAAAGAAACGAACGGTAAGTGCGTTGTAGATGACAAGATAGAGATAAATTATGTGTGATACTGATGTTTATACTCAGGTTTTCTTCCGCACTTAACTTAGGACGTAGGGCAAAGGTAGATGATATCATGGGTATGCCCTAGGATCACACTCATGGCGGAGTTATGATAATAATATTTTGATAATATTATTATGATATCGTAATATTATAATAATTATTATCATGATGTATGATATCGTACCGGTACTTTGAGGTACCGGTGTGGAGAATTGCTTGATTTGGAGGTGCCTTTCATGTATTTGATGGGGAGGAGGCTCTGGATATTTTTCATGTGTAAGAGGGGGCTTGGCGTGCAGGATTTTCTTCTTATAGCTTTCTTTTTTTTCTCTTAGCAACAAAGAGAACACACACACACCCACTACCGGGAAATAGAACTTTTCATCTCTACCGAACTGAGCCTACATTTCTTTCTTTGATTCCTCTGCGTTGTTTGTGAAATTGATCACTGCTCACCAGTCCCGATTACCAGGCAATTACTTTCTGGTATATCGTGAAGGTAAAGTGAGTTAGCGGGTAGGGCACAGTGCGTAGTCAAACCACCATCCAGGAAAAGGGAAAGAAAACCCCCCCCCCTGACACCGGTAGGGTTGCTAGAACCAATTCTACGCAGTTTTTTCGAGTATGCAGGTACCAGTCGTCCGTTACTTTAGGAATTCACTGGTAGTATCATATTTACAGAGCACGTAAGTATGATACGAGTAAATATCCTGAGCCTGGCAGGCTCACACCCTTCTGCGTCAAGAATTGATTCAGAGAATTAACCCATAAGCTTTTTTTTTTGCCGTACAATACATCTTAATAATATTCCTCACACATCAGGTATCGTGCCCGTAGCCCATCACAAGCGCCAAACCCGCTAAAGCGACAATCCGCCGAGCCATGAGAGCACGGGTCTAAGGCTAGGGCCCTCCGCCGGCGCTGCAACTCAATTGGCTGCCCCAAACTCCCCTAACCCACAGAGTCTCAAACTTTTCCTCTCTCAAAACCTACCAAACCGTATCTCAGTTCTATCCCCAACCGCAACTCATCTTTATTCTTTATCACCAGAATTCGCCATCTACACCACCCGCAATGCATCTTATGTACACCCTCGACAAAGACGGCAATCGCATCTACACGCTGAAGAAAGTCACCGCCGAAGGGGCAATTACAAAGTCTGCACACCCGGCGCGTTTCTCCCCCGACGATAAATACTCAAGGTAATTCCCCCTAGCCCCACTCCAAAAGGCAAGGGAAATATGAGAGTAAAAGATCGCTATGATGAGCACTATGTGAAGCGTTCCTAGCAATTCATGAGGATGCAAGCATTATTCTAAATTATCCAATTGTTCCTTCTGAGTTTTCGTCTTTAGCTTTTTTCCCCCCTCTACTTTATGTGACTTGTCGAGGCGAGAAGTGTATAGCTAACGGACCCCAAAGACATAGAGTTACCTTGAAGAAGCGATATGGAGTCCTGATGACGCAGCAAGGCTCGTTCTCTCCCTCTTTCCCAAATCGCTCGAAGGCATGGATCCTGACAAAGTGTAGAATGCAAACCGTGGTGAACATAACCTATGGAAAAAGCGTTCGTAGTTACGTTTAAATTCGTTCGGGATGGGCTTGCGACATAATGGTACTATTTTTGAGAAGTGCGCCAATGAGCACCACATTGAATTGTTCCCGGCTGGCGCTGTTGTGACTCCTATCGGCCTGTATATGTGTTCTTGTTGGTAACACTTTGTGGATCTTCGATATCATTGCCTTACCTCATGCGGACCCCTATGATTATTTCTGGGGGTTGAGTGAAGGATGTGAGGTGTTGTTCGTGACGATAAGCCCCCACATACTATTATTAACTCAATATGCCATCTAAGTTCAATACCCTATTTGGCCGTTAGGTTTTGGGCGATAACGGTTTGTGTATGAAATAGTTGAATGTATCATACTCGAGTAGAGAGTCACCCTGTTGCCAAAAGAACTTTCGGAGAAGGGATAGCTATGATACTACATTTACCTGATAATCCCCGTAGTTCCTAGACGCCGACTGCCTTCGTGCCCTACTCTCCCATTCAGTGGAACTCCGTAGGTAATTCCCGTATCTCAATCCTATGATACAAAAATTTGGATCCCACTGCCACAAAATACAAATGCTAGAGACACCACGATATGCTATAATACCAGGTTCCGTACGGTAGTTAGGTAAAGGGAACCATCTCACACCCCGCGTGATTAGAAGACTATTACGACTCTACCATGTTCCAGCATATCAGAGAAGCGCAGCAGAAAATCCCTACGAGTGTTTCTGGCAGATCGTTTTGTGTCACCCATGGTGGAGAGGCTGCTGCGTACCATGATGACCCAGATATTATGCACAACAGATCACTCGATCCAACTGTGAGCAGTCTTCCGGACACCTCGACAAACTACGAGTATACAAAGTGAGAGCCCCTGTTAATTTAATAGAAACTGTGTGGTATCGAGCCCTAAAGGTTAGAGACTGTCAGCATAACTAGCCATCCTTATCAAGATCACCCTTCGCACAACCGCATCTGGAGAACAGGATTCAAGTGTTTATCATACATAAAGTGCAAGGCGCAAGCCAGTTAAAAGCACTTCCAGCGCAAACGAGTAAACTGCGCATCGCTTTATGATGCCCTTGTGACCGTTTTTTCTTGCCATCCTGCAGATCGTGTCGAGCGGGGCCCTTGTACTTTACAGGTACCATAGTGCGCATAATAGGCATTATTAGTGGCCCTCGTCGCATTACAAAAAGCCATATTTCCAGAGAGATGGCCAGCAGCGGGATCACACCATCTGCAGGACTAGAATGATACAAGATCATTCTTTACTCCACGCAAAACCGTCGATCCGAGGCCCGACCAAGCCTTGATTGCCGGCAATGATCCCATATTCTGGCACCATCGTGAACCCATCCACGATCAATAAAGATCAAGAAGGTGAGATGAGTTTGAGGAAATACTTACGCCTTCCGGAGTGGCTGCAATCACGTTCTCTCGTAATTCTGGTTGGACGGTGAGCGACGAGATATGAATAGTCAGGAGACCTCAGCAGCGAAGGCTCCAAGGAGTAGATGCCAATATTTCCATCTCGATTTCATTTCATTTCAAATCCTTTTTTTTTTTTTTAATTGAGGGGCTACCCATTGCTGCCGCACATCAGAAGCCATGCAAGAAGCAAAAGGAAATGGGCTAAAAAATGAAGGAAAAAATACCCCTCTTTGATCGATGAGGAAAAATTTCTCGCAACGGTTTCGATGCGAATATCCCGAGTGTTAGAGCTCCTGTGTAAATAATAATTTCTGGCGGGGGGAAGTGATAGTGGGGGAATATCACCTTTTTAGGGATTATCAGTCTGAGTGAAAGCAATTAGGAAATTCCTCGGCAGCATAACCGCAGTTAGAACGCTTGCTCTTTCTTGTTTATCGCGCGCGGACCCTGGATTTGTGTGCTCGTCTTCCCGTCTCTGTCCGAACCTTGGCGTATGCTCCTGCGTTCACCTCAGTCTGGAGTGGATCTACTTGCAACCTTTCCCTCTCTTTGATTTGTGTTCCTCCACCATCATCCTGACAGCACCCCTCTGTCTGCCTACTATCCTTGATCTGCTGGCTCCCTTTCCCTTCCTACAACCAGCAACACACTGAACTGAACTCCTAAATCGGTGTCTACTCGTTCATCGCTTGTACAAATGCCTTCATCACCTCCCCCAGAATCCAGTGCTTCAAGTTACCAACAGAGAGCTCCATCTCCCGCGCCCCGTCCCGGATCTCCTCGTTCTACCACCCCAGCTCTCCGCGAACAGGCTACCGTACGGTTGGGCTCTCCTGTTCCCTCTCATGGATTTCCCACGGCTTCCACTCCAAGGCCTAGTTCTCCGGTGATTGGCGCGTCGAATCCGCTCGCTCAGATAAATTGGGCCGGTTCCGGTGGGACTCCTCCGAGATTTGGAACCCCTCCGCGACTGGGCACTCCCACTAGGTATGGGACGCCCCCGCCCGCAAATTTTGGCTCCGGGTTTGGCATAAATATTGCGAATTCGTCGTCGAAACCGCCCAGTATACAGTATGGCTCGTATGACTCACGGCAACCGATTGAAGATCCAGAGGTTGTGAGGAGGCATTTGGTTACTGAAGATCCGTCCATTACGGGTCTGGTTGGGGGCAGCTCGTCTGGTAACCGGGGCACTGGTGGTGGGTTGGATGATGAGTTTTCGTCACTGCAGTTGCAAGGAGGGGATGTCACTCGTCCGATCTATAGGTATGTTGAAAGCATAGAGGCGAGTGGGGGTAGGCGAAGCAGGTCACGGTCGTTCCATGTGCCTCGCCCAGAGCCAGAGGATGATACCCTGGACATCAATAGCATCAAGCAGATTGGAGGATTTAGAAGGAATTACATTCGCCGGAATGAAGGTGCTAGCCCGACTGGTGATGGCCATGGAACCCAGCTTGGGAGACCGTTTTTGACCAGGAATTTTATCGAGTTTTTGACTTTACATGGCCATTTTGCTGGTGAAGATTTGGAGGATGATGAGGCTTGGACGAGTGACGAGGCGCTGATGGCGGAAGAGGGACGACGAGACGAGGATGAGGAAGAGCCTGGTGAAGGCAGTGCGCTGCTGGCCGGCAGAGCTCGGACTTCTGGCAGGAGGAGGTCGAGAAGTATCTCCCAAGGGACCGCTGGGTCCGGGAAGGCGGTACTCTTGCTTCTTAAGAGTTTCGTTGGAACGGGGGTTCTGTTCCTTCCAAAAGCGTAAATCCAACGGGCAACAATACGAGTTCAGAGTGCAGTGCTAACGAATTATAGGTACTCTAATGGTGGAATGTTGTTTTCCAATTTGGTCCTGCTTTTTATTGCTGCGCTGTCGTACTACTGCTTCGTACTGTTAGTGAGGACCCGACTGAGAGTAGCCGGTAGTTTTGGTGATATCGGTGGGATATTATACGGGGAGAAGATGCGGATCTTGATCTTGAGTTCTATTATCATTTCACAAATTGGGTTTGCAGCTGCCTACATTGTGTTTACGTCGGAAAATCTCCAAGCTTTCATCCGTAAGGACTCCCAAGCTCCGCGTGTTTCCATTTAGTTAACAATACCTAGTCGCGGTAACAAACGGTGAAAGATTGATTGAAATCAAATACCTAATTCTCACGCAACTCTTAGTTTTCCTGCCAATGTCTATGATTCGGGATATGGCGAAATTGGGGGGAACTGCCCTTATCGCCGACTTTTTCATCATGCTCGGACTCATCTACCTCTACTACTATGACTTTTTCACTTTGGCCACTGAGGGTGTTTCTGATATTGTCAACTTTAATAACAAGGACTGGACGCTCTTTATTGGAACTGCCATCTTCACTTTTGAGGGGATCGGTCTTATTATTCCTATCCAAGAGACAATGAAGCATCCCCACAAGTTCCCGAAGGTGTTGGGTGGAGTTATGGTCATTATTACGATCATCTTTGTTAGCATGGGTGCACTTAGTTATGCTGCCTACGGTAGTGGGACCAGGACTGTTATCATCTTGAACTTACCACAAGACGATAAATTTGTTAATGGGTGAGTGCTGGTGCTGGTATTAGTTTGAGCCCTGGCTAATATCCGTTTAGTGTTCAGTTCCTTTACTCTTTAGCTATTCTGCTGTCGACGCCGCTACAGCTCTTTCCTGCTATCAGGTTCGTTGATATATTGGCTTGTCCCACGGCGGGTGGTGTCTAACGTTGATCTACAGAATTATGGAAACTGGCCTCTTTCCTCGCAGCGGCAAAAACAACCCGTCTGTTAAATGGCAAAAGAATGTCTTCCGCTTCATCACAGTTTTTCTTACTGCTCTCATCTCTTGGGGTGGCGCCGATGATCTTGATAAGGTATGACTAAGCCCCATTTTCCTTGTTCCACACCACTAACGCCATTATTCCTAGTTTGTTGCCTTGATCGGAAGCTTCGCATGTATCCCCCTCGTATACATTTATCCACCTCTCCTACACATGAGAGCGCATAATACCTCAAACAGCATGAAGGCTGCTGACATAGGTCTTTGCATTTTTGGTATCGTTGTTATGGCGTACACAACCGCACTGACTATTAAGAAATGGTCGGATCCAAATCAATAGTTAGGGTTTCCATATTTGCATTTATCTAGAGAAGTTCCATATCCTAAGCTAGAAGGCAGATGTTGGCTGTTCACACGCATCAAGTAGTCATGTGTTGGGGTATAACTATCATTCCTCCTTGCGTTTTTGCTTTTCTTTTATGGTAATCGGTTTTTTTCGCTTTTTTGGCCAGTTTCTTTTTGTCCTTCTCTCATAACTCTGCCTTTTATGAATTCCCTTTCTTCCTTTTCCCTTCTTAAGGCGGTGATGGTAGGGAGATGGTGATGGAATAGAGGGTTTTTTTTATGATATAGTACGGTTAGGATGGACGGGCTTGTTGTGTTGGAGTGGTGCTGTTAACAGAAGATCTGTGATTTTTAGATATAATTGTTTATGGACCCTTATCTATTCTTTATCATACATGATATGATACACTACGTTTATTTCTTATGTTATAATATTATGATATCGATATCATAATAATATTATTATTATTATCATGGTAAAATAGATCATGATCCCCTCGTTTCCCCGATGCCCTCAATTTACCCTCGGGCATAAATTTACTACTCGTACTGTAGAATCATGATACTCTCCAACAAGCTATGGTGTTATGAACGCGTTTTTATTAGAACCTACACATGGGGACTCAACACCAAACTTTTTTTTTGCATAGCAAGCTTCATTGACATGTGGGGTACATATTCCTAAGCTCAAAAAATATTCATGAGCCTTATACAATGTGAATTGCATCTTCTAAATCAAAAATAGTGAAAAATAACAAAATGCATTTTTTTACACTAAAAATATCTTGTATGATATCACACTAGGATACAAGGGTAAGTCGGGCGCGGAACTGCAAATCTCAGAGTTTGTTAGCCTATTTTGGGGGTCTCCCAGCCTATTATGGTTGTCGTCCAACTTTTTTCTCTCACACGAAAAACGCCAAGAAACACATTTGCTCGGAGGAAAAAAACGTTGTTCCCATATATGGGTGTTGCCTGACTAAACATACTCCCTGAGTACTTCTTGAGCATCTGTAGCACAAGATCCCATCTTAATTAGACAACTCCTTGTGGTATTTTGAATTAAAGTTGTTGCCTTTTTCTTGTAAAAGTTAGTTACGCAAGCAATATCATAAAACAGGACTAAGAATGAAAACCCTCAAGCCTAAATATTACAAAATTATTATGATAATATATTGTCTAAAGAAATAACAATGCTTTATAGATGTAATATAATGTTCTGGAGTGTGTCTTAGGACATCATTACTCTACTTAAACATTAGTACAAGTTAAGTTTTAATAATAAATAAAAAAAATTTTCTCTTTAAATTGGAAGGTAAGACTCTAGACTAAGCATGTACTCTAACCAAAGTAGGTAGGCTTTACTGTAGGTTATAGGAAATACTAAGAGTAAACTGTTTACAAAATATAAAGGGAATAATAAATTTTAAAATTGTGTTCAATATTAATAATTCTGGGGGCTCGGGTTCAGGTAGTTCTGAGAATGAGCCTGGCTTAAGCAATGTCTCAGATTTTGACTGAATATGAAGAATCAGGTAAGACCAATTTCTAGTAAAAATAAAAGCCTAATAACAACATGTAGAGTTGTACTCTTATTGGCAATTTTATTTTTATATCACAATATTTGCTATCTTGTCCTGATATTTTCTATGTATTTGTAATATTTTTAAATATTTCTCCCATGTTCTATTAGCATATCAAAGTTGGAGGAAAACTAAAACTTGATTTACTGGAAATTATTTTTTTCTGGTTGCCAGACTTCAAATGCGTTTTTCTTGTCTCTGCAAAAAAAAGCCCATGTGTAGGTTCTAATAAAAACGCGTGCATAATATTATCATAAAAACGGTTTAGATTACCCTACTGCCAAGCCCCTACTACCGTTCCGCCGAAAAAAATTCTTCGTAGAGAAAATGTTTATATCAGAGCTTCGCTTCTTCTGCACCACCACCCCACCAAGCAACAAACCCAACCAATAAGACCACAGCCTCGTCCACAAAATGGGAAAGAGCAAACTTGTCTGTCATTCCCTCCCCTCCTAAATTGTAATTGCACAATCGATAGCTAATTTAACGGCATAGAAAACTGCTTTACTCAGGTACCAGAGCCGCGATCCCATTCGCGAAAAGCAAAAAAGAATATCCAGACGGCAGCCGAAAACCTTGCGCAAGCGGGGCGGTAAAGGTGAGCAGGAAGGGGGGGAGGATTCAGAAGGAAATGGGGCGCCGGAAATGGTTGATATAAGTAATTTGGCAATGGAAGGGGTGTTGAAGTTTGCTATAAACAACGCGGAAGAGATTCCTGCTGAGTCTGATTCCGAGGAGGAGGACGGAGTTGAAGACTCTGATTTTTCCAATGGCGGGGAGGAAGCGGAGGAGGAGGAAGCAGAAGATTCCGACATCCCCCTCTCTGACGTCTCCGTCTCAGACCTAGACTCAGACACGGACCACCTCCCCTACCAGAAACTAACCACAAACAATGCCCTCGCCCTGACCGCCTCCCTAGCGCGCATATCACTCCCACATACCCTCCCATTCTCTGAAACTTTCCTCATATCCACCCCGGAACCCATCGCCATCCTAGACATTCACGATGATCTAACTCGCGAGCTCACATTCTACAAGCAAGCTCTTAGCGCGGCCAACGAGGGCCGTGCCAGGATCCTGGCGGAGGGTGGTCAGTTCAGTCGGCCGGTGGACTACTTCGCTGAGATGCTGAAGGATGACGAGCACATGGGAAAGATACGGCAGAAACTGCTGGATGAGGCAGCGGAGAAGCGCGCGGCACAGGAGGCGCGCAAGCAACGGGATTTGAAAAGGTTTGGGAAGAAAGTGCAGGTGGCGAAGTTGCAGGAACGGGAGAGGGGGAAGAGGGAGATGTTGGAGAGGGTTAAGATTTTCAAGAGGAGTATGTTCTCTTTCCCTTTATTTTAGTTATTGGATGGATGGATGAATGCTAATTGATGGGGGGGATGTAGGAAGACAAGACGTGGAAACAGAAGCAACCACCGAAGCAGACATGTTCAACGTCGCCCTCGAAGAAGTTATCAACGGCCATCGCGGCAGCACTAGAGACGGCATCAACAACAAGCGCAAGAAGAAGGATCAAAAGTACGGCTTTGGCGGTAAAAAGAGGTTTGTGAAGAGTACCGATGCCAAATCCTCCGGTGACCTTTCTGGTTTCTCGAATAAGAAGAATAAAGCTCAATTCGCTGGCGTCAAGAAGAGGAAGCCGGCTATGAGGCTGGGCAAGAGCAAGCGTACTAGCGGTAGTGGTAGGAGGTAGATAGATGGTGGATCGATAGCTAGATGGACAATTAATTGTACAGTATCTTGGCTTGTGAATTTTGAAACCACAAAAGTTTTGAGCAGAACAGATTAGAAACATGTAATTGGTAGTATATTCTACCATTGGAATTATTATGGAGGAGCTTAAGTTATCCCCCTCCCCCTCTCACTCTTCCTCTTCCTGGCAAGCCCCAATTCTACAAACTTAAATCCCATATGAGTGCATTTAAGCGAAAAGGATAACAATTGCCGACAACCACAAAAGTAAATGATTGGTCCCGAGGCTAGAGTATATGGTAGAGTATCCTCCTAGCTTCTTGAAATATATTCATCATTAAAATTCGTGCAATAATGAGTCCGTAATGATTATTTTTGTAATTTTAGCAAAATATTTTTTTTACATAGCATAATAGCCTGCCTCAATATCTACTTGTAAGCAAGTTTTGAAATATTTTCAAGAGTACAATGTTTAGTTATTATAAAGTAAAGTAAAATATCAATGTAGGTTGCATACTTTCCAGACATTATTAACCTGTTGTAAGTGAGTAAATGCAATCATGCTAGAGATGAGATATTGGTATACAATTAATTTCACCTGAAAACATCTCCATTGATATGTCTCTAAGATTTCTTCAAAATCATCCTTGCTTTTTCTTATTGCAAAATTCTTCCTTTATTCTTTATTCACTTTAAAATATCCTTTTCTCTAAATTGCTATATACTGAGCATGGACATAGACTCTGGTGTTAATTCTTCAGATTTTGATTCTGATAGCTCAGTATTAGAGTCTGAGGATAATATTACAAATACTCAAAGTTTGTTTGGTACAGGTAAGTGTAAATTGATAATGCTTTGTATTTAAACAACTTTGATTCTAAAATCAGTTTTTTGAATTAGAAAGTAAAGATAATAATGTAGTAGAAATATTTGAGCGGCGCTTGGAGTTATTCTTACATTCTTGTTCCTGCTTACAAGAATGTATAGGTAAGGCTGATTCAGAATTGTAGGAACAATGACTATTCTATCATGATAGGTTATCTAGGTATCATGAACGTGGCTTGGCATGTAAAAGGTTTTCACATGACTCATGATTATGAGTCATAGGTATGTTATTGTTTCACGCATATGACTCATTTGGGTCGTATGACTTATTATGTTATAATTTGTTATATTTCGCACATGACTCAATTATGAGTCATGAGACGTGCACCTGGAGAATATGCCTTGCGAGTGTGCCTGGCAGGTATACCTTGTACATATGATTCATGCTTTGCACATAACCTTGTTATGAGGTAATGGGTTTCACGCATATGACTCTGTCGAGTCATATGACTTGTTTATTATGTTATGATTGGTTTATGAGTTTTCGCACATGATCTTGCTATGAGGTCATGGATTTTGAGCATGTAACTACTTTGATCACATGATTAGTTTATTATGATTTGATTTTGCACATGTGACCACTTTGGGTCACATGACTACGGGCAGGAAGAATACTATATCGGGAGGCCGATGTGGCCGAGGAGCATAGGTTCTTCACGCTTTGTTCTAAGTACTTTTCCTATTTATTACTTTAATAAATATAAAATACCTTTATGATCTTTATGTTTATTGCAATATTTATCGCTATACAGAGGAAAGCTCTTCGCGGAGAAGAGTTAGAGAATGCTGATAATAGGCATTCCTGATAGAAGATAGAGGTCTTGTACTATTGGTAATATAGGCAGAGGCCTAGTGCTATTGTAAAACGAAGAAAGGGAAGAAGAAGAAGAAGAGAAGTATCATTTCCCGTCGCCAAGAACTAACTATCTGAGGAGGGATCATTACACTAGGAAGGAGAAGCGAATCATGATAACATATCTTATATCTCCTCAATTATCAAGCAACTCAACTGTATTGGATGAGTGGAAAATACAACATAATGATTATCATAAGTATAAGGGTAATCACAAGAAAATCAAGTATGTTCTGCCTTTTGTTGAAACAGTTTGCAGAGACGTTTTTACAGCTTTTTGGAACATATCCTTAAAAAGCCTGTATGGTTTAATTCACTATTTACATGCAGTACAAATGCCAATTCCTAAACAGCATGGCAATTACAATCATGTACCTTCTAACCAAATATCTAAAGAAGTAGTTACTAATGTAGAAAACTACCTCTTAAGATTAAGAGAAAAAGAGGATGAAGTAATTGCTACGTGAACCTATAAGCGAAAGCTAACTGATGGGAGAATTACTACCTATATGGAGTTAGAAGATATTGTATATCTTCCTTCTCATTTATCCTATAGCTGTTTATATAAAAGATATCTTCAGGAAAAAGGATATTCTGACAATGAAGCTCCTCTCTCTTTTTCCAAGTTTTATCAAGTATGGAAGTCTCATGCAAGTTTATGCTTTATGAAAATTCATAAAGCATCTAAAAATGTGTGTGATCAATGCACAATTTTACAAAATTTCTCAAAGGAATAGAAAGAATTACTACTATTAGTCTCTCATGAATCTCGAACTAATAGTTTTTCAGCTATAATCTCATGGGTAAGTGAGAAACAGAGACAGTTGGAAATATATAAACTAGAGTACAGAGCATGTCGTACTGCATATGAGTTTGACATTGAGGGGACTAAGGTCTTTGAATCTGAAACAAGTACATTTTCCTTTGATTTTCAGCAAGTTGTTCAAATACTAAAAATACTATAGCAGCCATCACAGTGGTACTATCGGTCACCTTTCAAGTTGTATGCTTTCGGTATTATCAATAATGCTTGTGATCAACATTATGATACAATGTTTACTGAGTCACAGCAGGGCAAAGGAGCTAACTAAGTGGTGTCCATTTTGCATTGTTTTTTAACCTCTATTTCTAAACTTACACCAAAGATCAACCTCTGGGCAGACAACTGTGGAGGTCAAAATAAGAACAAAATAATGTTATGGTATCTGTCTTGGGTAGTAGCAACACAGGATATACAGGAAATTACCTTCAGCTTTCAAATAAAAGGCCATACACGAAATAGTACAGAGAGAAGATTTGGTTGAGAAGGAACGAGCGATGCTGGCG